CAAGAATCTAATAGGCCACCTCTATTTAGCGGCACAAATTTTAACTATTGAAAAACTAGGATGACCATACATATTCAATCTAATGATTATGAATGTTGAAAAATTATTTGCAATGGTCCAAAAATTCCTACCAAAATTGTAGATGGACTTAGGGTACCAAAACCTGAAAATGAGTGGGATGAATTAGATACTAGAATGACTCAAATTAAAATTGTATAGGATTTAAAATTGTCATGTCCATTGACATTATTTTATGATCTTCATTTCGTTGTTCTCTTTCATCCATCATAGATAGGAGTTTTAGTTGTTCCTCCCTATCTTCGGACCTTCTTCGACGCTCTGCAGCCTTCTGCTCACGGTCTATCTCCTTTTGTTCATCTCGCTCAATAGTTCTAGCGGAAATAGTTGATAACACTTCAATAATTTTGGATTGGTTGTTGTTTGATTCTTCAACTTCTCTTTCGCTGCCTTAGTACCAATTGGTCGTGTTGATGTATTAGATGGTTGTTCGTGCACCGCATTATTCTGGTTGGATTGAAATGCCTCATATTCAGTTGGTGGATTTGAAGATGGATTAGCATGTTGCGTGCTTCTTTTGGGTTGTGATCGAAATTTATTCCACTTACAACTTCGGCGCAAAATATCCCAACATGTATCAAATGTGAAGTGTTTTTTCTGTATTGCATGATACATCCGCTTTGCTTTAGCGACCTACAAAATAAAATTACAAACATTTCAATAACAAGTATACATTTAGAAAAGAAAATTGATATTTAATAACACAAATAAATTTTACCATGTCTGCCTCAGTTGTTCCACTTTGTTGCCTCAGTTGAATTTGTTCAAGAAAACCACAAAATTTATTAATTGCCTTTTGCGTGCCAGACCAACGGTGAGACAAAGAAATACGGTTTCGATTTGATTCACCGCTTAATTGTGAATTAAAATAAACAAGTACTCGTTCCCAAAATATAGCCATAGTCTAACTATTACCAGTAATGGGATCTTGAGAGACTGCTAACCAAGATCTACATAAAGTTTCATCTTCTATAATTGTGAACGCTTTACCATGAGAAACACGAGAAGTTTCTGAAATAAAATGATTATCACTATTCTGCGTGTTTTGCTCTCGTGAAGTTTCCGACATAAAATTAATATCAGTGTGCTTCAACATTTGTCAGATAATATAAATTAAAATTTACTGAAAAATATTACATACAATATCTAACTTACTGAAAAATATTAGAATGATATACACTCAACCTCAGAATCAGATAATTTAATCAGATAATATAAATTAAAATTTCAAGGAAAAAAAATTTCTAATGACACAAAAGAAACAAAATTCACAGCATTTAATGTAATGCTATTCTGAAAATGAAATATTCTGTCAGCTTGATATACGAAACAGATATATTTTGTAGAGCACATCATCAACGGTAAATTTTCAAAATACTTTGTCCGTCCAACGGTAAATTATTAGAACGGCTAGTTCTGAAATATGTATATGAGAAACAGATATATTTTGTAGAACACATCATCAACGGTAAATTTTCAAAATACTCTGTCCATCCAACGGTAAATTATTAGAACGACTAGTTCTGAAATATGAATATGAGAGGTAACAATTTCAATTATATTTTGAAAGGAATTTAAATTTATATCACCCTTCAAATTATTCATAATCCACAAAATAACCTATCTCAAAATAAACCAGCTCAAACTAGTTCAAACCAACCAGTTCATTACTGTTGTCGCAGAATTGATCAACTCGGTTGACCGGTTGGTCAACCGACCGGGCAACCGGCTGGTTGACCGGTTGATCTCCAATGGTCACGCACACAGTAAAGCAGTTCAAACCAACCAGTTCACAGTTCAAACCAACCAGTTCAAACCTGTCGCAGAATTGATGAACTAGTCGATCGGTTGGTCAACCGGCCGAGCAACCGGCCAGTTGACCGGTGCCTCTCCTCCAACGGTCACAAAAATTGGGCTTGAAATAGAGAATTGATCAACTTGGTTGACCGGTTGGTCAACCGACCGGGCAACCGGCTGGTTGACCGGTTGATCTCCAATGGTCACGCACACAGTAAAGCAGTTCAAACCAACCAGTTCACAGTTCAAACCAACCAGTTCAAACCTGTCGCAGAATTGATGAACTAGTCGACCGGTTGGTCAACCGGCCGAGCAACCGGCCAGTTGACCGGTGCCTCTCCTCCAACGGTCACAAACAGTAATTTGCTGAAATCTGTACCCTGTTTTCAGTTTGATGATTTTTTTGTTGAATTCTCATTTTGATACCAATTTGCTGAAATCGTTGGAGCACTAAAAAGTGATTTTTTCACTAAAATTCAAATCTGATGCCAAGTTTGATTCACCGTTGGAGATGATCTTAGCAGTTATTAATTGTTGTTGGCTGTTAGTAGTTAGAGCCGAAAACGAACCGAGCCGAGCTGAGCTTTGCTGAGCTCAAGCTCGGCTCGACAAGGAACTGGGCTCGAGCTCGGCTCGGCTCGGCTCGTTAATTTTAATGAAACTTGAGCTTGGCTCGGCTCAGCTCGATAATTTTTTTTAATATTATTTAAATATAAATATTTAAATAAAAAATATTATTTATATTATTTAATATATAAAAATGTATTTATATTATTATTTATATATATTTATATATTTTTAATATATAAATAATATATTTATTATATAATTTAAATAAAGATAAACGAGCCGAGCTTATGCGAGCTCGAGCTTGGCTCGTTTATTAAAAGAGCCGAGCCTGTTCATGAACAGCACAGTTCATTTGTAGCCCTATTAGTAGTTATTAAATTGTTGGCCATTTTCAGAATTGTTATGTATTGATTAGTGTGGGTTAAAATGGGTTGGCCATTGCTAAACATTGTTAAATGGGTTAAATTGTTGTTCAGTAAATGCCTAAAATTGAACTTTGAATTAGCATAATACAACTACTTGGCTTACTTTAGGTCAGATATTGTGTTTTTTTTTCATTTTTTTCTTTTTTTTTTTACTTTTTTTATCAGTTGGATTTGCGAAATCATGATCAAGTACTTAACTTTGGCAACCTTTGACACTGTCGAGAATATTTTTGGTGTGGATATGAACCATGTAGTCACATTGGGCTTGAAATAGAAAGATTTAGCATAAAATTGAACGTTGAATTAGCATAATACAACTACGTAGCTAGTTTAGGTCAGATTTTGTGTTTTTTTGTGCTTTCCATTTTTTATATTAGCTGGGTTTGTGAAATCATGATCAAGTAGTTAACTTTAGCAACCTTTGATACTGCTGAGTATTTTTTTGGTGTGGATATGAACCATGCAGTCACATTGGGCTTGAAATAGAAAGATTTAGCATAAAATTGAACTCTGAACATGTCCAAATTGGTGGATAATTGCTGTGAACTCTGAACATGTCCAAATTTGTGGATAATTGCTGTGAACTCTGATTAAGTCTCTCTACTGTGTTCACACTCGGCATTGCAGACATACAAAGAGATTAATGAATGTATTCACACTGAATGTATTCATATAGAACAAACTATGGTGGAATGTATTCTCAAACTGAAACTGATTAAGCCTCTCTGATTGATGAATGTATGTGTGTATGAACACAAAACACATTAACAGAGATATTGATGAATGTAGTCACACATAACAAATTATTTTCTGAATGTATTCTCAAACTGAAACTGATTAAATCTCTCTAATGTGTTCACATTCGGCATTGCAGACATACCGAAAGATTGATGAATGTATTTACACTGAACAAACTATTTCTAAATGTATTCTCAAACTGAAACTGATTAAGCCTCTCTGATTGATGAATGTATGTGTGTATGAAGGCGGGCGAGAGAGAGAGAGAGACAGAGAATGTGGGAAAAATATTACCTCAAAAAATGATTGAAGATTCAGGAAATCGAGAGATAAACGGACCAGGGAAGAAGGCTATGGCGGACGATAGTCGTTGATTTCTGGAGAGCTATGGCCGTCAATTTCGTGGGAAAGAAAGATATTTCGTGGGAAAATATCTCTGATTGATGAATGTATGTGTGTATGAACACAAAACACATTAACAGAGATATTGATGAATGTAGTCACACATAACAAATTATTTTCTGAATGTATTCTCAAACTGAAACTGATTAAATCTCTCTAATGTGTTCACATTCGGCATTGCAGACATACCGAGAGATTGATGAATGTATTTACACTGAACAAACTATTTCTAAATGTATTCTCAAACTGAAACTGATTAAGCCTCTCTGATTGATGAATGTATGTGTGTATGAAGGCGGGCGAGAGAGAGAGAGACAGAGAATGTGGGAAAAATATTACCTCAAAAAATGATTGAAGATTCAGGAAACCGAGAGATAAACGGACCAGGGAAGAAGGCTATGGCGGACGATGGTCGTTGATTTCTGGAGAGCTATGGCCGTCAATTTCGTGGGAAAGAAAGTTATGGCGGGTGGACAGACAGACCAAAAAAGCGAGAATCAGGAGAGCGAGAGACAGAGACAAAGCGGATAAACAAGAAGTTCCCAGAGAGCTATGGCCGTCGATTTCTAAAAAAGAGAGCTATGGCAGATGGAGAAGGGAAGAGGAACAGAGGAGGGAAGAGTGAGGAGTGAGGTTAGGTTGTTTATTTATTTATTATTTTATTTTTTATCTCACAAGTGCGTATATCACACCTTACCAGAACGCAACTATTCTTCACATGCTAAAGGCAATTTCTAACTCAGTGGGAGTGCTGGGGTGGATCTTCCGTGGGGTTTGAATCGGGGCTAATAAATTTATTATTGATTGGTCTCACATCATCAATATCACCACGATATTGAAATTTTAATCCTAAACAACACAACAGCCAAGCCAATCTTTTGGCGTCCATTTGGATTATGATTGAAAGGAGCCAAGGAAAGGAAAAGAATTACAAATACCCAAAAATTGTTGCTCTGAAAGCAAACCATCTCAAGTGTCTTTCCTTCCCCCTGTTTTTCATGTACAAATGGAGCCTTCAAATTACCACGAATGCCTTGTTTGGGCTCTCAAGTATGAGTTTGCATGCAAGTTCAGACCAATAGCAATGCCTTTAAATGATGCTACAATAGCTTGAACCTTAACAGTAAAATCTACTAGGAACAGACACTACACACACTTCCCAATAACAGCCAGATCAAACTTCAAGAACCTACATAATCACAGAAAAACAAAATAAAATAAACTTCAAATCATCAAATTCAACCCCCCATCCACCCACCAGAAAATACAAGATGGGATCTTTTTGCAATGGCAACCCAATATATCAAATCAAACCAAACCAAACCAAACCAAACCACAGAGATCTCCATTTATTCTCTGTCAATGATTACTCGTTGCGAAGCTTGGGAAGAAATGCTTCTAGATGACTGCTCAGAAGCAGCAGCGAGGCCCTGCAACATTCTCAATATCTCAGTTGTATCATCCAAGTAGTACTTGGCCTTGCTTGGTTTCTGGCCAACAGTGCACGCAAACACTTCAGCAACTGGTGAGAGCGAGGGTCCCACCATGGCACTCCTTATCACCTCAAACATGTCCTCGTCTGACCTATCGTCACCAATACAAAGTACAAAATCTGGAAGCATGCCCTTCTCTCGCATTGTGACTAGGAGGCGTTCTGCTACAAGACCCTTGTTGACACCCTGTAGAGAAATAACAGAAAACATGTCATATGTAAGACTTGGAGCACAAGCCTAACAAATTCTGAATTACCCTTCTACTTAAAGTGCTAAAAAGAATGTCATGCAGTCTTATAATGCATTGTCGGAATTGATAATTATCTTCAAAGGGTCAAGGATACAGAAGGAAAAATTTGAGAATCCACAATCACTATAATCATCATTGCAAGTCTTCCTAAAACTCAGCCATTAGCATCAGCTACACTTTTTAGCCCATCAAATAGTGTTCATCGTCAAGTCTTCTTCGATGTAGAATGGAATACTAAGCAGATGTTCATTTACCCTGATGTCAATTAAACTTATGACATTCAAATCAAATTGTGTCTCACCTTTGTTTTCCAACATGTGCGTGTGGGTAGTAAGTTCATGGAATACTAAGCAGATGTACGATGCCCATATGTTTGTTTACCGGATTAGGTTGAGTGGGATTATGAACACGGTGAGATTGAGTTAGCAGATTACTAGTATGGTGGTATAAGGTTAGAGATGTAAGATAAATTGTGTTTGTTTGTGCACTAGTGAGAGAGAGAGAGAGAGAGAGAGAACACCAAGAGTATGGCCCCAAAACAAGCCACACAATCATTAGGTACCCAACCCAAAGGTCGTATTAGAAGTAATAAATAACTAACAGTGGAAAATAAACATTAGATATTCATCATCCATCACTTCAATGAATATTTTCTGAAGATAAAATGAAAAAAATGTCAAAGTTACAAATAATAAAACTGACAAAAAGCTTACTATAATAACACACTGTTCCAGAGAATCACGTTAAAATTTTTAGTAATGCATTTAATTTTGTTCCAACCAGATACGAAAATCCTAACTCAAAAATGATAGACTCTAAAAATGATATAATTAATGAAGCAAAAGCACACCTTTCAAAGAATCTTAAACGTCACTATTATAGAGATCAACTTAGGGGTAAAAATGATAAAATAGGGAACTGTACGGAACTGATGATTATTGTGATTATACTGCTAGAAAACAGCACTTGTACTACTTACCTGAGGTTTAACTTCTACAATGTGTTGGCCGCTCTTAACAGAAACTGGTTCATTGGCAAGAACACTTTCGAGGTGGTCTAGAAGCTCCTTAGCCTGACAAGAGCCAAAATCAGGATCTGCATACTGGTAATTCCAAACAAGTGCACTCTCTTTGGCCTCTATGGTAGAACCATCTGTTGTTTCCATGTATAATTGCATTACTGGCTCTGCAATCTGTTTCCAATAAAAATCTGGGACAGCAACACAAGTTTCCCAGTCTGCATCATGATTGGGCCTGAAATATAATACAACTCAAATAGGCTTCAATAGGGAGATGAAGATAACAAATAAACACTCGGAAATGTTTTCCGTACAATTTCAAATTTCCATAGTTACAAGTTCTTTGTCAAAATACACCATTGAGTGCATAAGCAAGTTGCCGCCTTTGGTCAAATATGGCATTCACATTATAAGATACCACTAAAAAAATAATAAAATAAAAGAAAAGCCAAGCATATGCCTTCATTTGTGAAGGAAGCTCTCTTTGAGGTGGGCGAACAGACTTTCGTGGAAGTGTGCTTCTTATAGAGGTACAATACTATTTTAAGAGAATCATTTATGATACTTTTGCTAAACATATCCAATATAGGCAAGAAACTGAAGGGAAACTCAAAAGGAACTAAGAAAAACTAAGACAACGCTTTGCAGAAACTATTTGGAAACTCTTATGAAAACTACTCCAAAGAAACTTACAAATATGTTTCTTATTCATCCATATCATCCCAAGTGTTTTCAAAAGTGATTTACAAGTGTCCTCATTAGTTTCCTTATTATTTCTTGTTAAGTTGCAATTAAGCATCCAATATGTTCTGTTGAAGTATCCATTGAAGTATTCATATATGTTTTCATTAAGTTTTTCTAGAATTTCCTTTCTGTTTTGCAAAATTTATTGTTGGGATTCCTATTACTTTATAATTTTTCATGCAATTGAACATAGTCTTAAAATAATAACATGCTTAAGAATTTGAGATTATTATTACAATTTCAAGCAGGAAATATAAATGAAATTTCCAAGATGAGGTCAGGGTAAAGGCGTCTACCTCACAAAATAACCATGCTCTGCTGCAATTCCAAGCCTTTCACATGATGAAAACCATTCAGATAAAGATTCTTTGTTCTTCCCGCTAGCAAGGAAGACCACATTCTTGGGGTCTCTGCATAAGCTTTTTAAAATTGCAATAGCCTCTGCCTTAGGAGTGGTGCTGATTGAACTTTGCACCATCATCGTACCATCATAATCCAATAGGATTGCTCGGTTCTTGGTCCTTTTATATGCTGAAACAATATGCTCAACTGAAAGCTTCCTAAAGCTTGGATCCAAAGCAATAACACGGAAACTTAATCCAAAACCAATACCCCAGCATCTCCTCCTGATATGATCTCTGCACGCCCTTTCAAGATCTTGCAAAAAGCTATGTGCCCAATATGCAACATCGTGTGTACTCACATACCTATAGTGTTTCTCATGCCGCAACTGCTTCTCTGCCTCGGAGACAATTAAGGCAGAATCCATAGCATCAGCCACAGAATCAATGTTCCATGGGTTAACACGGATTGCACCACTGAGAGAAGGAGAGCACCCAATAAACTCTGAAACCACCAGCATGCTTTTCTTCTGTGCTGATGGGTTTACACCCAATGTATCGTCTATCTTCTCATTTCCTTGTCGGCATATGACATATTCGTAGGGTATAAGATTCATCCCATCTCTCACAGCGGTCACAAGGCAGCACTCTGCAATTGCATAATAAGCAATCCGCTCGTAGAATTGAAGTGTGGTATCAATCAAAACCACTGGATCATATCCTGGCCGCCTGAAATCTCTATTAATCCTGCTTACTGTTGCATAAGTTTCAGATTGGACCTCCTGGACATCTCTCCCTCGCCCCCTTGCAGGGTTTGCGATTTGAATCAAAACAACTTTACCCCTCTTATCAGGATGCTGAATTAGCAACTGTTCAAAAGCTAATAGTTTTAAGCTTATCCCTTTAAAGATGTCCATGTCATCAACCCCAAGCAAAACTGTCTGACCCCTAAACTTATCACGCAACTCCGCAACTTTTGATTCAGTCTCAGGAAGATCCAGCACAGATTGAAGCTGACCCATGTGAATCCCAACGGGGAGAATCTTAATGCTTACAGTTCGACCATAGTATTCAAGCCCAATGTAACCTCTCTTGGATTGAGAAGAAACGCCAAGCATTCTACTGCAACAAGAAAGGAAGTGTCGTGCGTAGTCGAAAGTATGGAAGCCTATAAGATCAGAGTTGAGGAGTGCACGGAGAAGTTCAACTCTGACAGGTAGTGTACGGTATATTTCAGATGATGGGAACGGACTATGGAGAAAGAACCCAAGCTTCACCCCATTAAACCTTTTCCTCAAAAATGTTGGCAAAACCATCAAATGGTAGTCATGAACCCATACAAAATCATCATCAGGGCTGATCACCTCCATAACCTTATCGGCAAATATCTTGTTCACAGAGACATAAGCTTGCCAAAGTGACCGGTCAAACCTCCCACCAAGTTCCGGTGATAGAGGAAGCATATAGTGGAATAAAGGCCACAAATGCTGCTTACAAAACCCATGATAGAATTTACTAAAGAGTTCAGGAGGGATAAAAGCCGGGACACATTTGAAAGTTTCAAGCAAGGTTTGTGCCACCTCATCTTGTTCATTCAGATCAATTTCTTCCTTAAGTGAACCAACATAGATAACTTCTACATCTTCTCCAAGACCATCTTTGAGTTGTAAAAGTAGGGAGTCCTCATCCCAACTGAAATTCCATCCTCCTCCATCACTATCTGATCTTCGATGTGCACGGAGTGGAAGTTGGTTGCCTACAATGATCATTCGCTCTTGAGAATCGGAAAAGTGAGAATATCAGAACCAACGCTATTGCTATTTTCATCATCTAGTTCAGATAACACCCCAGCAACAGTTGCCACTCGAGAGAGCTTCTTTGCCCCTCGACCCAATCTTGGGGATTCAGAAGAAGTAAGATCCAAGAGGTTGGAATAAGACCTTGAAACCATTATCGAATATGGGTATACTCAATCCTACAGAGAATAGCTATACGCCAACGTGGCTCCCTTTTTATCCAATAAATACAATCAAGTTCTGCAAAACCCCAAGACAAGCTAGAATCAAAACGAAAAAAAAAAAGGTTCAAATCCTTCAGATTAAACTAAATCATACAAATACTCCACATAGTAAATCATAAAAATTCCAGCACATGTAGATACATCTAATAATATCTATTCAAGGTAAACCCAGAAAAAGATTCCCAGAATCTGCTGCTTTTTCTGAAATTCAAGAACCTAAACTTGCAAAAGGATTCAATTTGTGGACTCTCGCTCTGATAGAGAAACCATAGATCAATGATAACAACAAAAAATTGGGCAAAACCCAGGAAAATTCTGAACAGTACTGAAGGGTTAGATTAGAGTAGTATTAAAATTTGGAAAAATACCCAGGAGTAGAATCCAGTACAGAAGAAATTGAGAAATTATATAAACAAACACTACCCAGAAGCAAAATTTAACATAATACAGCCCAAAAGTGACACCAAAAAAAAAAAAAAAAAAAAAAAATTACCTCCAGGATTCAATCGATAGAAACCCAAATAAACAACTAAGATTGAGAAGGTCCAAGAAAAAAAATCTATCCCAATAGCCACACATATTGAAATGCATAATCAATCAAACAAAAAGAGATTGGAGAGAGAGAGAGAGAGAGAGAGAGAGAGAGAATGGAAGCATGGAACATGTTAAAAACTGAGAACATGTTTGTGAGAACTGTTACATAAAAGTAGCAGTAAGTAGGTATGCAAAACAGAGAAGAAAAGAGTGGCCTTCGCTGTAGCAAGATTTGAGAGCTTACCCTTTCAAGGTAGAGAAAGTGAGAGTAGTGTGATTAAAAATTTCAAAGATTCTCACCCTATATACCACAAAGATTCCTCTCTCTCTCTCTCTCTCTCAAACACACAAAGTTCAACAATGGCATCAAAGACCCTTTTACTTTCTTTCCTTTTCTTTTTATTTTTCTTTTTAATTTGTGCAAAATGTCATTTCTTTTCTTATCATCCACATATGAGAGTAAAGGGATTGTCCATTTATCGCATTTGAATTTGATTCTCTCTCTCTCTCTATGGGCGCCACTGCCGGTGGTGATGAGTGTAAGAACACACAACAGTGAGCTGCAACATCATACTTCATTAACTATGGTTAACTTATGTCAATGTCAAGTTATCATTAACCAGAGGAAAGTGTCTACCTAACTCAACTTCACACCATTGCTACCACCACGCGCTTTAGTCGCACCTGAATTCACATAAACTATCTATATTGTTATATTATTATATAAAACATACAGTTTACATGATTTGAATGTATTATTTCATGGTTCAATTGTTCCTATGTAAATATTCTGATTTTAGATTTTGATATTTTAATTTTTTTTCTTTCAAATTATCCAAGTTTTTTGTTTTAAAATTTGATTTTTTAACTTTTTTCCTCTTCTATCTACATTAAAAAAAAATTAATGTAAACCAACATTCATGTTTAAATTTATAAATTTAAAATGAATAATTGATTACTGCTTGCACATAATCAACTGTGCATTTTTAAATTGACTTATTATTTAGTAGTTTAAAAAATCATAGTTTACATAGTATTATGAATTGTTTACATAACTAAAAAAAAATTACAAATAAAATATATTAACTTATTTTATTAGGTAAGTGGAAGATAAAAACGATTCATTTAACATGTCTTTTAATTTTTTATTTGTCTAAATATTTAATTTTTTTTTCTTAAATTATTGTTTTACGAGTTACTAAATAAGACATTAATCTTATTTAGTAAAATTTTTTTAAATCAAAACTCCCAATTTTTATATAATTAATTTTTTTAACTCATTTAAATTATTTATATCTAATAAATTATAAACAAAAATATCTCAAATAATTTAACAAAAATTCTCAAATTAAAATAAGTTAAAATTCACTCTCGAAAGAGGTAAGGTAACAAAGAGCTTTATCACGTTGGGAAGAGTAAAGTACACGCGCTATGTAAGTTGAGTTGAGTTACAAAACGCTTGGGCCGTTTTCGTCGGCTTGTCCGCTTGGCTGTTCTTCAAACAGAGCTGTTTGCGGCCATGCAAAGCTTTGGTGTGACACTGTGCCGAGAAAACATCAGGTGCATTGAAGCCCACCACTCCTGTCGTTTTTATGATCAAATCCAGTAATGTTAAAATTACATAAACTAATACAGAATGAGAGACAACTCTTTTATTGGAGTAGATCTCATATATAGGTCCCACACATGTGGGTTCCATCCTTTATGAGAGATAAGTTTGCATTTGAGAGATGAGTTTTAGAAAAAAAATTTAAAAAATTGTTTAGTTTGAGTTTTTCTTAAAAAAAATTTAAAATCACTCTCTCTCTTACACATCAATCAATCAATTTTTCTCTCTCCTCTCTCCTCTCTCCTTCTCAATCACTTTTTCTCTTACACATATCTACTCAAATTCTCCCAAACTATCAAATCATCCCAAACTCTTAAAAAAATAACTCTTCCAAAATATACAACTAAACAAACCAAAAAAATTTCTAAACTCTCTCTCCAAATTTTTTTTCAAAAATAACTCTTCCAAAAACAAACCAAAGAAACCCATCATATTTTGTGTTTAATTTTTATGCACAAAAAGTACTATTTTGGAAAGTTGGCTTTTAGTAACATTTTTTTGACTTTTTTACATTTTTTTTATTTGAAAAGTTGGTTTTTAGCTACTGTTAAAATTATAATTCTACCTTTCACGAGTCAAAATGTGTTACATGATTGAAGTTATAAATATTTAATGATTGAAGTTGTAAATATTTTAAATTAATGAGGGTAGTTTAGTCATTTTATTGTGATTTGATATCATAAATAAATATTAATCAAAAAAACCAAAAGTAATTTTTTACCAATTTTCCAAATAATTTGTCGCAAAAAACTTAGTTAGGCATGGTTTGACAAGTGAGTTTGGATAAGTTTTGGGCTATTTTAGCCATAAAAGACAAAAAATATTATTTTAGCCACAACAAAACATCACATTTAACCCATAATCATTACACTTTTCTCTAACAAAAAAAGTCAAAAAATCCTTCCCAAACTATTAACCTAGGTTAAAATAATCAAAAAAATTAAAATATTAAAAAACCAACCCACTTTCCAAACGTCAGCAAAAAAACTTACTTCTCACCCTCGTCTCAAAATAGGCCAAACTTACTTAAATCAGAACGGTACAAGTGAAGTAATGTCCTAATGCATGCGTAGTTGATAACTTGATCCTCTAAATTTTTTTATTTATAATGTATTTTTTTAATTAATCAAATATAAAAATAATTACTTCATTTCATTATACTAGATGGGAGATTATTTAATAATCCCGAAAAACTACTTAGTCATACTCTAAAACAATTACCAATCACTTAATTCTTATATTATTCTCCCATCTTCAAAATAAATCGTGAGTCCTTATTCCTCTCTACTAATCAAAATCTTATAGAATACCACATGTTCATACACCGAGAATACTAAATAATCACCCTTAATAAGGCCAGGTTTAGCAACTTTTAAAAAATCCAAAAAGTCAAAAAGTTACACAAAAAGTAAAAAAGTCATTACTATTCACAAATAAAAAATATTAAAAAATATTTTATACATTTTTGTAATACAAAAGTTTGAATTACACTGTAGCCGTACTATCCCAGCAGAAAAGCAGGTCATACATTTTTTGGACAAAAAAAAAATTACACATGTAAAGCCACAAAGTTTAATGGTAATGTTGGGTCCTTGGGAGCCCACTAAGGGTTCCATTTTGATAATCCGAACCGTTCAATATGTAGAACTCGTCGAGTACTATATATTTGTAAAAAATCACATTGATCGGACATCGTTAACTATATGATAAAATGAGTTTTATATAAACAAAACGGATGGTGTGATAGTTAACTGTTGAAAAAAAAAACTAATCCGATCATATAGCTATCGATATCCGATCAATGTGATTTTTTACAGACATATAATACTCGACGAGTTGTACATATTGAATGGTTCAGATTATTAAAATGGGACCTGTGGTGGCCCCCACGGACCGACCATCACTGTCCAAACACTTTGCCCCGAAGGAGGTAATAATTTGTTGCGTAAGACACCGTACAACCTGCTCAACTTTCTTCCCCTATATACTTTATTTATACAATTTTTTATTAAACATTTTTTCATAAAAAAATAATAAAGTAACCCAAACATCCATATTTTTTTTCCTCAATTTTTTAGTTTAAAAAAAAATAAAAAGTACACTTATTTAAGACACTCCAAATAACCCCTCATATATTACTTGACATAGTGGTCTTATGGAATTCAATTCAACATTTAAATGACAGGAGTAATATCAAGATAGAAAATGTCTCGTAGCTCAAATTTTGTGGCTCAAAAGTGGCTCAAATGGCCAAAACGACGTCGTTTTGGCCATTTTTATGTTATTCTGTACTTAAAACGACGTCGTTTTGGCCATTTGAGCCACTTTTGAGCCACGAAATTTGAGCTACGTAGCATTGTCGAAAAAAAAAACTGAAAATCTACTTGCCAAACAGGGCTGAGAGTCAATGCCGTGCAGTGCCAGAGAAACTTTCAAAAATTATTAGACCCAGTGACAGAAAAGTGTACCCGAAATTCACACTCCTCTGTACATACCTAACTATAAATTAGGGCAAATTATGAACACAACCTTGAGATTTTGTGAAAATACAGATTTTTCTTTGAGGTTTGAGAAATAATATCTCACTTTTTGAGGTTTATATTTTCATAACAAATTGTCCCCTGAAATTTTTATTTTCATACAGATTCCTTCCTAATTTTCTCTAATTTGTTATAAAAATTTGACCCTCAAGGAGTAATTTGTAATTTCTCAAATTTCAAGAGAAATTCGTATTTTTACCCAACCTTGAGGGGGGTGTTTGTAATTTGCCCTATAAATTATAAAGCCTCGTTTGGGGACTAACCGGTTTAGTCAAAAAGTCAAAAAATTATTAAAAAATTAAAAAGTCAACAATCTATATCAAAAAGTTAAAGATTCTTTTTTCTCTATTTTTTGCACATTTTTTCGTAAAAAGTCAAAAAGTTATCCCAAACATACTAGTTTTTTTTAACTCATATTTTAATTAAATAGTCAAAAAATGACTAAATTAGCATGTTCCAAAACGAGGCCTTAGTCCCGTTTTGTTGATCTTGTGGATGCTTGGGAAATACATAGTTGATGCCAAAATTTTGTGTGACCGTTGTAGCTTTACGTCGGCTTGAGAGGAACCGGCCCGGAGAGACAAAAACTTGATTGTTGCATTTTCATAAACTTGCTCAGAGTAATAAAATTGTTGTAGCTTAAATGGATCATCCCTCTCTCTCTTCATTTGTGTGGGTTTGAGAGCCTAGAGGTGTGTTTTCTTCTTATTTTTTTTTTAATTTTTCTTTTGTGCTAGAAAAGTAAGATACACAATCTATGATAATCAAATTTGGGACGAATTTTTATATTAGAATCTTTTTATTTGGAATGACATGAAAAGTGAGATTTTTCAAACATTTCAAAAGTAGTATAAAATTGACTTGAAATATGGGATTCTTCAAACATTTCAAAAAGAGTACAAAAACTCTTTAGTAACTTTTGGGCAAATGTATAATTTCAATCTTTGATAGTACATTTTTAGAGAATATCAATTGTTATAATTGTACATTTTGTATTGTTAATGAATTTAAAAGAATGACAAAATAAGAAATTTATATTATTTTGGTCCTTAATTTTTTAAAATAGACTAATATTTTGAAATAATAAAAAATAAAATAAGAGACTAATATTTTGGAATGGAATGAGTAATTATCTTTATTAGGGAGTTGAAAATAAGAAATCTTTAGATTTTTCAAGAGTAAAATCGTCAATTTGATAAAATATAAACTAATTTGATAAAAATAAATGTTAAAAAAATATTTTAAAATTTTTAAAACTTATTTCTACCCATTAAAAATAAAATTATGTAAAATTGATAAAAATTACATGATTAATTTTTAAAAATTAATTTTACATGATCATCATCCAAATACATAATAAAA